GGGGGGAACTCGAACACCTCCAACCAGTTTCCCATGGACCCTTCGATTAGGCCTTGACGTGAAGCCCTCATCCATGGCCCTACGGGTCAAACCAAGAAGTTCCTCGGGTGTGAACTCCCCATCAGGACTGTGTTCTGGCAGGTATGTCTGGTTCTTTCGGATCCCTCCAGGCAGCCTTCCACCATCGAGCCGAATCACCTCACTGTAGGTGTCCCCCACTTCCAGCCGAGTTTCATTGATGTCCCGATCAGGCGTCACTACCTTGACCAGGTTTCCGCCATCGCAGCAAAGAACTATGCGGCAATGAAGCAGGGTGGGGTCATCCTTGAAGCGCACTAGCGCGCGCTCTTGCCCTAACCACTTCACTGGCTGTCGAGCTGGATCCAGGCTTCCCATCGCTCTCAATGGGTAGTGCAGCGACGGCTTTCTTCAGGCTTGGGAAAAACACAGGCTCACCCTTCACCGTTCTGACAGGCTTCCTAGCCCTTTTGTTCTGACTCTTGGGATGGTGCCACAACACGAAACCTCCAAGCAATCCGCAACAAAAGCAAACCAGGCCAAAAACGATGAAAAAGAGCAGGCTCTGCGATCTATGAATCTCCAAGTCGCTCTGACACTGGTGCAGTGTCTGATTCAAAGCCAGGAACTGAAAACGTTCCCCCTCCAGCTCAGCTCTAGCCTTGCGGCAGGCACCAATGACCTCTTCCTCCTTCACGAGGTGTCCAACCCAAGCAAGACCGAGGCGGAAGGCTTCGGCGCCGATCGAACGGCCCAGCTCCCGCCAAGGAACCATGAACCCTCCTAAGCAAATCACCTTGAGGATTAAATTGCACCAGAAATCGCCACAATCCGGTAAAACTGACCAAGGTCTTACATATCTACTACAGCCAGTAGTCTTGTCGACACGTGGCCCAATGCCCACAACTGCGTTCACTTGGGCCACTTGGTGCGGCCGCCCTGCTCGACCCCCGAGCCTTCAATGACTGTCCCACCAAGGCAGAACCTTCTCCAGTCTCCCGGCCTTGATGCGGACGAAGTGGACGAGACTGTTCGAACGGGCGTATGACTGATCGGCACTTCAGTCTTTTTCACCAAAAACTTCACTTGCACTACATTTAAGAAAGGAAAGATCTTGTTGAAAACATGTTAAATAAGGACTCCTGGTGGAGCTAGTTCACTGTGGAAAAAAAAAAAAAAAACCTTTTACTGTGGTGGTGACACCATATCAGCCGCTTTGGTCTGTCAAACCGTCATTCACACACCTGCAACCACGACCATCCAAGTGTTCATTCATTCCGAGGTGTTTTCAGGAAAGGTCCTTATATCTTGATGGTTAGTTCGCCTGGATTTGCTTGGGGTACCGGACTAAAAGCCTAACAACACATTCCCCAGAATGAGGATTCACCCATGAACAAAAACAAACACATCACCTGATCCACGCCACCAGATCCGCAAAAGACTTTCACCTGATCCGCCCACACCATGTGCGACCCTTTCGCAACAATAGGGTCGGTCCACCTTCGCCTTGCAAGTCATCCACAAAGATGGAATTCCATCCCAGCTCCGGCTGCCAGGTGTATCCTGTCGCACCTGAAATGTAGGGAGACACTTTGAAAGACATCGTGGTTTGTTTTTCGGAAAAAAAGGAATCTTCGATGATAATAGATCTTACTCAAAACATCTTTGGTAACTTTAGACAAATACAACTCGATGTCATGCTTTGTGGTACGGTACGTTCTGCTGCTTCGAGACGCCCAACCCTCAAGCGCCACAAGACGGAGAAAACACCCCGGGAGTCAGAACATGCCAACCGAAGCAACGCAATGCCAGCACGTGTGAAGCCCTTGATGACTGGAACCTATCATATTATAGTCGTCGTCGTGACTTTGGACATATTACCTGGTTTCAGTGGATAATGGTGATTAGTTAGTAGAGGCCTGTCTCAAAGATATAGTGATATATAATCATTTACCGACTGCCGACTGCTATACTGGTCAATGGGCTACAGCATGATGATGGTTAGGTTGCAGGCCTTTCTCAACAAAAAGCCATACTCTTTGACCAACTCAGAAGCTGGTTTGCTGGGCTACACCCTCTTTGCTGTCTCATCTTGACTGATGTTCCTCAACATCTCCCACTCAACCAGAAAAGGCCAAGTAGCCGTGCTCCGGACTCCAACCAGCGCGATGCTGCACCAGGAAGACGTGCGCATTGGGTGCAGCTTGGTGCCTGAAAGACTTTTCTTCACCAACAACCGACAACCGATGCGAGGCCTTTCTGCAGGGTTCCTTCAAGAGAGCTAGGAGGAACCAACAGCGACGATACGGCGCTGGACTCCATACTACACTACTGCGTCACTGCGTCCGCCACCCCAGGCATGCCAGCCTCATGGGTCGTGCCTATGTTGCACATGCGTCCTTGACCGGAAAAAAGACACATATTATGTGCCCTGACTGACCAATGAAACAACCACCCCAAGGTAGATCGGTCAAAATGCCAGTTTCATGGGTCGTGTCTAGGGAATGAGTTTCCGACACGGATTTGCGCTTGTTGGGAAGCCTGCCATGAGTCCCGTGGTGCACATGGGATGTGTTTCGGTGCCGGTATTGAAGTGATCTTTTTGTGCGGACACATGTGTCGACTATACCAGATGACAGTGCCTGGCGCGAGCCACTGTACAGCAATGTCTGGTCAACGACAACCTGCCAACTGTTGATGGCTCGAAGCGGAGCTTCGACAGCCAAACAGCAATTAAGGTGAGCGAAGCTTCGCAAAAGTCTGTGCATGGACATTACATAACAAAGCGTCCTCTAATTCCAATCTAGATCATCACAAACTGATCCATCATGATCCATTCAAGCAGAAAAGGATGGTCGCGCTTCACAAATCACAGCGCTGCAGAAATTGTCTATTAGCTTGCAAATCATGGCGGCAGCACGGCCATGTTGGGTCATCTTCACTCCCGCAAATGCTCAATCATACACTCTCTAACGAAAATAAAGGGTGCTTTAGGACAACGTTCTCCTTTAAGATCGCTGGCACGATCAAGCTGAAATGCATGACCTCGACAGTGTATGGATGCACTGCTTTGACCCACCTGGATACACTGCTGAGAGCGTCCAATTGCAACACGAGGCTCCTGGAGATCAAACCACGTCAACCCTGTAGTCGGCCTTGTTTGATGATTAAAATATTATTGCTGCGAGGGCAATGCTGAGAGATACAGGCAGCCTCAAATGTAAGAAACGAGGATCTTCAGAGATTTTCTGCATTGTTTCTTAAGGCATCTTAAGGCTTGCCAAATGCTCTGAAGACTAATTATACAGAAGTCCTTTGCCTTTCTTCGTGGCTCCCGGATCCTGGTCTTCGTGGCGTCCGCTTCCGCTTCCAGAAAAAACTTCTCCAAGATATCCTGGCGCCGCATGTGGGTGACGCTCTGCAGTCCCGCCGATCGGAGAAAGGACCACCCGTGGCGACCGAAGTCCTCGCACCGCAGGATGAGGAGTTTGAGGCGCCAAGGTGAGAAGTCAGGACTCGTTTTTTGAGCGCCGGCTTCAAATCGTCGTTGAAAAAAGAGCTCTCCGGAAAAACCTTCCGGCTTCGTCCCCGGGTGGAAGAGGTTCGTCCACCTAGGGCATAGGGAGGTTTGCACCAGGTACCGCTTCCCCGACTCTGTGACGCTGTTTTGAGAGCAGTGTATGAGTTACATGGGCCACCAAGGGGATCTTGCAGTGGTTTTGATGGGTGTTTTGACGTCACCCAAGTCTGAACTACCAAACAGGACCAAGTGACTCACACGCTCTGGGTTTCAACCCACCTGAAACATACAAGTGCCGCGGGTGCTCTGGTTTCACCCAAAATCGCAGATGGGGTCCCCCGGCCGCATGGGACAGTGGAAAGTCACCGTCGACACTCAGAAAGGTAAAACACCATGGCCACTATGTACCTCCCGCCCAAACTCAAAAGTGCACATGTTCTTGCCCAGCCGCTGGGTTCGTCCCAGCGATCGTTTTGGTGCTGATTTCTTCTTGTTTGAGTGTTCAATCACCACGGTCATTTGTCCTTCAGGAAACTTAAATATGAGGCTTAACTGACTCAAATATGCAGCATATGGAAATGTAGGCAGAAGTTAAGGTTAAGAATTCATGTTAAAATCGCAGCGTCAGCTTGTCCTCTTTCTCTGATCGGAAAAAACACCCAGAACCCAAGCATCAGAGATGCTTTTGGAAAAAAAAGGTTTCATCTACATGTTGCAGTTGCAGAATAACATAACAATGTCCAATGAAGTATATCGAGACACAGATCCTACAAGGCCACGCGTCTTCCAGACGACTTACTACAAGACCAGACGGCTTAGCGCCGGTACCCAGTAGATCAGGGAGTGTATATGGTTTCTCAGGATTCAGCAATAAACATTTACAGTAAAACTGCGTTTGAAGATGTTTGACCCCCATCCAGCCTACAAGTGGATGTGAACAAGCAGACTAAAACAAATCAAAAGCCCCAAACCAATCCAAATGAATCCACCGATCTCTCACAGTCCACATCGTCCTCCAGTTGCTGCGAGCCGCTCAGCTGCGCCACCGGGATGATCTCCGTGCCTCGCGAGGCAGTGTGAAAGCAGTGAGAGTGAGAAGCCTGAATTGAAGCCCCAGTACTTCTAAAACACCCAAGTCCTCAAACTGTTTTGTTCAAGCAACGTTGAGGGAACCATGAAACCATCAAAATTGCCTCAACATGGGCATTGAACTATTGGATCTATATATATAATATATAATTGGGAATTGATGCCTGGGCCAGCTGAGGAACTGTACAATCCACAATTGAAGCCGATTTGGCTCTGATTCGATTGCTTTGTCACAGATGCTGCAGCTGTTCTATTTGTGCCATTCCCCTAGTAGGTTTGCACAAGGGTTTTACGTGAACACTGTTTTGAGCTATCTCACAATGCTCAAATGATTTTATGCATTGGCATTGAATATTGTAATTTTATGCATTGGCATCTTAGCGCTGGAGACTTGACTCTAGCCATGTAGAGTATCCGGAGCCAAAACCATATCCAACTCCTCTGACCTCTAATCCACCCTCATCTACTCTTCCAAACGAACACTGAGCCACCCAACTTCCATGACGTTCTGTCCAAGCGCAAGACTTGACTCAGCACCTCTACCACTACCAGCTCGTACAGTCCACTGCAGGTCTGTTCCTCCAAGCGTGTCGTTAATTCTACCACCACTGCAGGACATCGCCACGCCTCCCACGTCTGCCAGCTCTCGCACCGGTGGCATGTGAGCCATCGGCGAGCTCGTCGCCACCTCGCACAGCGTGCCGAGCGTCTGCGCGTAGCGCAGGGCGTCGGCCATGCTGCGGCGCACCTGGAACCAGGGCAAGAGCAGGGAGCGGACAGGATTTGGAAAAGCACACGGTCGTTGCAAGGTAGGAAATTCATTGACTTTCGGATGGGAGACCTCCCTTCTTCTTTCGGGGTTGGTGCTCACCCCGTGGACCCCACCATTGGACGCTCTCGTTCGGACGCGACATCGAGATCGACGGTGCCACGCGGGTCCCATGAGACAAAGCAGTTGAGGTCCATGGGTACCAGCTGCAAGTACCTCCGCTGCCTCGGGTATGACTGGACATCTATTGGACCCTCTAATACTACCCTCCTGCTCGCCACATCTTCTAAGAAGGCACGACTGGAATAGGGAAAGCATGGGCATGTTAGAAAACGATCATCACAAGACATCCGATGTCGGACACGGTGTTGGACACGGTGCTCCACTACACTATAAGAAGTAGGGAAAGCAATTCGATTACAGAAGACCTGGCTACTCAGGAACATCATTTGCCTTATGGTGTTAGATGGTGTTAGTGTTCATTCACTCCACTTGGATGAGATCATGAGGATTGGGTCAAGAAGTCTTCATCTCCTTGTGGCCAAGGGGTTGTGTATTTTTCTGCGCTGCCTCGAAGTATTCCTCTTCCTTACGCTGCATCTGCTGCAGGCTGCTGGAGCGAAAGACGGCCAAGGGCAGCGCCATGTCGAAGATGCAACGCTGCAGCTCCTCGCCGGAACAGCTGCCACACCATCCACCCCCAACATCAGAAAAACATCCACAAATGATCACAAATCTCTCCAAATCCACACCATCCACCCCTCCCGGTCACGTCAGCTCCGTGTCTCCCGCGTCTCCCATTCCGCGTCTCAAGCCGGCGCGGGGCTTCCCGCCTCCAGGGAGGCCGTCGGCCTGGCCAACATGAGCGCCGCCAGGGCGCCCTGCTTCGCCAGGCCACCGGGCACCACCTCGCAGGCGGCCTCCAAAGCCACCGCTCGGCACCAGAGGTCCAACTCTGCCAGGGCTGAACGCCTGCTAGGGACTTGAAAGGGCTGGTAGGTGGTGAGAAGGTGCTACGGTCAACAGCGAAAGGAAGCATAAAATCTTGAACTCCCTGAACATGTTGTGGCAGCTGGCATTCTAGAATTCTAGAGTCAGAGTATTTTGTTGCCCTTTCATAGCGGCGGCTCCATGATTCCTTCTCTTTCATGTCACTCGTTTTGTCTCAGCGTCTCAAGTTTGGGCCCCCCCTGACCCTTCCAAACTCAGACCGAGACCTTGACAGCACCATGCTTTTTGTTGCCTGCTTCCACACATGTTCTCTTTGCGGAGTCCAACACAGTTACCTATATATAGGTTCCAACTGGCCCACCACACACCGCTCGTCCTACAACAAACAACACGGCCATCTGCTGCGCCTGTCGGGGGGCAGCAAATCCACAGGTTGGACCAGCTGCTTCTCGAAGCGATTGAGGAATGGCACATCCAATTGCTTAAACGCTTGCTCCTGCGTGGGACTGTTCTTCCAAAAGTAGAATATAACAACACATCAACAAAATAATTTGTGGGAAAGCCGGAATCAAATGCTTGAAGAAAACAACCTTACGATCAGAGCGTTCTATCCCACCGCCTAACACGGGCCTGTGGAGCGCGCTCAAACATGGATCGAGCGGCGCTAATAGATTGTCCTCATATAGGAAGAATAATGTTGACTATTAACTAAAAGCCCACCCAGTTGGAGTGTAAAACCTTAATAATTATGGGGAGCTTATGAATCAAGAGTCTACGAGTCTACAGGTTCCACGGATGTCCGTCCCAGGGTGCCTGGTCCACCAAGACCAACAGCTTGAAGCTCTCGGCCATGGGGCACAGCTGGGAACGAGCGCCGATGGCCAAGCGGAGCATCAATTCGATCTCCCCGTCCTCCAAACGGCGCGGAGAACAGGAGCGAACAGGTCAGGGAAATCGAGAAATCCATGGTGTCAGAACGATCCAAAAGAACACTTGAGCCCAGCAATGACAAGAAGTGTGGCAAATTGGTAAAAACTTGAGTCTCCAAACATGAAACGCTCTTCGTGACCTTGATCCAAACATCTCCAAGCATTGGAGGTTTGGCTTGGACAAACCCATCCCGTCGTGTCATTTATTTGGATCTGCTTGCGAAACATCCCCGGTTGCTTGGGATGCGGTTCATGAATCACCTAAACGAAGCCACAATCACCCTGTTGAAGTCTCCATGGGAAAGCAGGGCCGGCACTGACTTCGTCGCTTCCCCCCACGGTCCCACGGCGGACGTCGTCCCTCGCTGGCTCCTCGGTCCGACGTCGCACATAGCGCTGGTTCAGCACGTCCTTGGAGGTGAAGAAACGCTCAGTGTATTGGAACCCCAGATGTATTGGAAACACTCCGGATATACCGGGGTTCAGGTTCCCCCAAATAGATAGCGGGGCAGTTTCCCCAAATCAATAGACATGTTGATTGCCACTCCAAAATGTATTGGAAACTGTCCCACTATCTATTTGGGGACCACTACTGTGTAAGCTGAGCCAAGCGAGCGAAGAGGGGGCTGAGTGTGGAGGATTGGCCATCAGCAGTCCTTCCAAAGAGGCTGTCGACCAGCTGTGTTGGTGAATATGGCTTAAGGCTTAAAGGAATGGTGGATTGCCTGGTTGCCTATATTCTTGGAATTGATGACCTGGTCATTTCCTAGGTCCTAGGGCTCCCAAGTATGACCCTCTCTCATGTTCTGATGCAGCCACTCTTGATCATCTTGAGAAACAAATGGCCACGGCATTGACCATTTCCAGAACCGATGGTCAACAACCCCAGTTGTGACTGGGGACGTCGACCAGATGCCGTCGCTGGATCGGGTCCAAGCATCATACAGGGCTTCATAGATCACATCCATTCCGTAAAGCACCAGGCTTCTTCCCTGGCACTGAGAGTGAAACCGAGTGAAACATGCGCGACAGGGAAACACTGCGACCAGTCTAGCATAGTCTAGCTGTTGAGGACTGTCCTAGCCAAACTTTCAACTGTCCTCATTGAAACAATGAGTTCAAAAGCCAAAGATTCCAGATCGATCCCTCCATAAGTCGAGCTGTCTGCACCTTGAGCTGCCAAAGCACACGACGTTCCGGTTTGCGATTGGAGCGACACGTGACCTCAGCCCCACAGCCCCGCCTTGGCCATGGCATCTCTCACGCGCATGAGCTGTCGAATGGCATAGGCCTAGCGGAGCTGGCCATCTATGCATTCTTTCCTCATCCCCCAACATATTCCAAACCAAGTCACCCACCAACCCTATCTCATACCTCAACCTACCCGAGGCACCTTGATCTCAAACTTTTGCCCCCCTTCCGGCGTTCACTCCAGTGAACCTCTCCTCCTCCTCCTCCATCCTCCTCCCGCTCCTCCTCCTCAGCAACAGCAGCATCCATGAACTTCATAAGCCATCTTTGTCTCTCGTCCCCCCATTGTCACCTCATCCTCTTCACAAAAGGCTGATTCCCATTCCATCCCGTTCTTTCTTTTTACCCGTGGCCTCCAAGGCGTCCTCTGGGAAATCGCTCCCCAACAAGATCTCCGCATCCTTCGGCAACACCGAGGCCGCCTGGGCGGCTTCGCTCGACGCGCTGCGCCGAGGAACACCAACCGCATTCGTCAATCGAACTGCGTGGAACGGAACTGGATGTAACGCTTGACCTCCAGTTTAGTTTAGTGGGCACTTGCCCGTTTCTTTTTACTCCAGGGGTCCGAGTAGGCATGTCCAAGCCAGTGGCTGGGTAAGAACTGCATCCTAAGAGAAGTCAAGAGTAAAGTTGCACATACACTTAGTTTGAGTATATGTCTGAGTCAGAATTTGCTGAGTGAGAACTCATTGGATCCGATTGTGTATCGGTTCCTTTTTCCAACACAGGGGCCTCGGGGCAGCACTTGGGGCTTCAAGGAACGCCCAGAAATGGGAAGCATCGGCAGTGACTGAAGCCAAAGCAGCACTACTGGATATAAGCATAGCGTCAGAACACTACCAGGACAGAACACCACCATTCAGAGTGAACATCGCATACAACACATGAAAACATCTGATGGACACTTCACTGTGCAGGAACGATGGGCTGACGATTCTTGAGTCTTTCTGTGTTGGGGTACAGGCATGCACTACTGCAGAGGCAACATTGGTAGCCTGCAGGTCCACATGCAGTGCACCAGGACCCATCAACCAACACTGGCCCTGTGTGAGCGCCAAGGCTGAGTGGAAAGAAGTTTGTGAAAGTGGTGGGCATCAAGCCCTGTGCCCTGTTTTCACAGCTCTTCGAAACGCTAGCCCCAAGAAATCCGCCACTCTTCAAAGCCTATATCGGCATTATTGTGCAATGATTTTGGGAACTGCCGTATAGTGTCACCTACAAGGTGCTGTAGACCCTTATAGTGTCACCTTTGCCAGTATAGGCCAGTGTCAAAGGGTCAGTGTTCGTCATTAATTTCAAGTGAACCTTTCCAACCAAAGACCATGCAGTCAAAGGAACAAGAAAATTGTTGAAGACCCATGTACATCCAGGTGCCATCCCGATCCCACGACCTTGATGGGCTCTTGGAGATGATCTCTTGCATCTACCCCCACCAAGAGCGGAGGAAGAATTGAACTGACCACAAGCAGGAAGGCCCAAGCAATGATGTCCTTTTGGGAACAAATAGAGGAGTCCAGTGGATGCCATGATGCCAAGTACCTTTTTGCCAAACATGGTTGTTCACGGCCGGGTGGTTCATGGTGCAACCGAGGCCGCAAAAGCCCTTTGCCTTGGCCCAAGTGGGCCAAGGCAAAGCGGACCCGGCCCGCCTGCAGCCATGGCAAAGCGGGCCCCTGACTGGCCAGCAAAAGGTGTCGCGCTTTCCTGCTGGCCACCCAAACAACATCGATTGGGCAGCGACATGTGGCGACAAACCTTTGAATGTGACCGTTGAGTGTGACCGTCGATTGCGGCACCAGTGCTGACATGGCACCCCAATAACATGTTCAAGAGCCGGAGTCTTCTGTCCAGCATTGGTTGTACCGTGGACTGATCATGACACTCAATTCTCAATATCGGTATACCTACCATCTAACTCGAGTTCCCACTTCTGACAGTGCCTCAATGGCCGCACAGTGTGCACACACCACGGAACAAAAGACGGCGCGGTGATCTGTGGCCGTGTTCACGCCTGTCGGCCAAGCTGGTGGACAAGAGCTCGGTGAGAGGATAAGCCATTTCACCAGCTCCTCCAAAGGTGCGAACTCCACCGGTGGCACTTGAGACTTGCACGAGTGGCGCGTGTCTTGTTGGGGAGCGAATGAGGCCAAGGAAGTTGTTTTGTTGGATGCCTTTTTGTTGGATGCGACAGGCACCGGTGGTTTGGATGCGTGGACAAAAGATCCTTAGGAACCGCCAAACTTGCTTGCCTTCCCATTCGAAATCGCACAGTGGTCTCAACCATCCTTAGTCATGTACGTCACAGTCTGATTGGGATCACCAAACTCGCAAGTGTTGATGAGAAATCAACGGACCGATGAAGTTTTGGAGTGTTTGGACCGCAAGTGTTTGGACCGTCACACAAATCAGACCACCTTGCATCCACACCTTCCGGACCGATGTTCGGCTCCTGCCGGCAACATTGCTTGCATCATCCGTTCCAGCAGCACTGGCTGTCCGCCGAAGTTCCGTTGGATCGCAAAGGACAAGATCCTTGGTAGTGGTATTGATGCACCAAATCATTGTCGCAAGGGATACAGTACGTACATCGATTCAGCTTTGCGAGCTGCCACCTGAGTGAGGCGTTTCCAAGAAAAACGTCGCAACATATGCGCATTCTCGGAGCAAAAGCATGGTGCTCTCTTAAGTCCCAACCTCCTCCCCGAATCTTCCACTTGACCCCATGATATAAACCTCTCTTTGTCATCCGTCCCAAGGCGCTCATGAGTGGGCTGCTCCGTCTTCGCCCGCAGGCACCCGTCCCGTACGGCACGCACGAAGCCGTAGTAGTCGCGCATGCCCAGCCAGTCCCGGGCACCTCATGCGTGAGAACGGTGGTTCAACGGTGGTTCAACGGTGGTTCGGTTAGCAACTGTTAGCAAGGTAGCTGCCCACTTCTCGTTGGTTGCAAAGACTTCGCATGTTTTATACTTTTTTGGGGGGGGGTTGCAGCATGTTGCAGCTTTGGCACACTGATGTGCATGCAGTTCTCATGTTTGATTGATGAAGGTTAGTTACAGTATCCGGGTATATCCGGGGTACAGTATCTGGTTGACACTCCCCAAAGATTGAGAGCAAAACGATGAAGTTCATTGCACCTCATACTTGGGGATTTGTTTCTTAGGTCAATGCCTGGACTGTGGGGAGAAGAAGGGAAGTCGCCCAATGTCGCCCTCACCAAACTCACATCAAACCATGACAAATTGAAAGAGATTGTTCTTTCATGTTCTTTCCCCTCAGCCGCTCCCTACAAGCCAGCGCGGTTGTGGGGGCCAGTGATTGCCACGCGTTTCTTCGCTTTTCGGGGGGAAGGGGGGTAGGAATCACGGGTTGATGCTGCTGCAGCTTCTGTGGGAAACCTTGTCTGGTGGAACCTATTATTGACTCCATACCGGTCCATACCTGCCATACTTTGACATGCAGCAGCTACAATGGTGCTCCAAATTTAATTAGATGTTCAAACAGCGTCCATGTTTCCTGCTCCTGGTCCATCAGTTCCTGCCGTTCCCAAGTTTGGGGAGTTCCTGGCTTAACAGCCCCGCGTGCTGCTTTCCCACGCACCACACCCGACAGGAGGCACCTTGATCTGCAAAAACGCTCCAGAAGGCTTCAGACAGGCTTGCAAGCCAGGCTGGCGCATCCCTCAGGTAAAGACGCCGGCACGGAGACCTTGTTCTCCATCGTTCTGGAGGTTGGAATCAACATGAATCAACTTATGATAGATTCTGGGGAGTTCTGAAAGGCACAACAGGGGTGATGTGTGACTTGACAGGTCGTCTTCATCCACCATACCCTTCAGTCTACAACATCATTTACTACGAAACTCGGAAGCCACCACCTAGTGAAATGAATGGAAGCCCCCCAAAAAAGATCCCAAACTTCATCCATCAAGAGTAGGGCTTCGAGTCTAGTGGAACATCTTCAGATGACACATCGCACACAAGAAATGAAACCCAATTTGAGCCGATGGTACTACTATGAAGACCTTACAAGATCTTACAAGTCAAGCAACACGGATCTCCAATCACCAGCAACCTACTGTATATATCATTATATATCCTGAAACCAGGAAAATCCGTGCAAATCCCCATGCCCAAGACCAGATTGATCCCGGAAATCCATGGTAAGGCGCTTCTTCGTCTTGTCGTCGCTGAGCTCACTCAGAAGCCCGGCACCTGCGCAAGGGCCAGGAGCAGACTAGAGCAGTAGCGACCAGGACCTCATGCAAGAAGTATGTACGCTGCGCCCCGTGTTCAAGACCATGTCTGAAGATCGATAAAGGGGCGGTAGTGAGGCGGAGTGTAGAACAGAACATGACATGTGAATGACTCTTCTTGCAAGAGGGCTGCTGGCTACTGATTGCAAGGCCGTCGCCTCTATCCTCAACTCACTGAAATATCCTCACAACCCTCCAGTGAGTGAGTCAAAGGAAAAAGGAAACAAGAAAAATCCCTGGAAAAATCATCTGGACATATCTGGACATATCGAATCTCGTTGCATTTTCCAGCTTTTCTGTTGCGTTACTCCAATCTGTTGCCTTCGTCCGGCCGCTCTGGCCCCGCCTGTGCGTCCGACCTCCGCACTGTCGGGGTCCGGGCGCGCCAAGCACACGCTGCGGTTCATCTTCGCGGGGTCCAAGCGCCAATTGGAGAGGCCTGCGCCGGTCGAGGCCCGTCCTCGAGGCCGAGCGAGGTTGGTCCGTGGGGTGTGGCAGAGGTCCGGAATTTCGAAGAGGGCGGTCTAATCACCGCAGTATTACGCCTGTTGGTCCGCCATGAAACATCCGTCCCGGCTTCGGTATGCAGTTCGTTTTGGGGTGGTTCCTTTTGGTTGGTCAGTTTTCATCGACGGAATTGGACACTGGACCCGATTCCAAGGAGTGACGTCTGCTGAACAACACGTATGTGAGCTGCTGAAAAGCGTGGTCAGCCTTGGACTGGTACCTCCGTGAGAAATCTCAGTGGGGTCCAAGTGGGTGTCATAACTGGTTTCATATATTAGATATATTAGATATTCATGGAGTTTCATAGTCCAACCTCCCCTCGCCTACCACAGCCACTGTGCCCGGTTCAGCGAGAATGCCATGTAAGACCTTCAGAGGCATGTCCTGAGTGATCCAGGTTCAGCAAAAGCTGGGTGAACACTGAATCACGATGAATCACGGCTGTGAATCAAATGAACTTTCAACGTTCAACTGGTATTGTGTGGATTCGACTGACTGATTGGCATTACTAACAACATGCAAATCTTCAGAATTCAGGAGTCCAAATCACATCAACATTTGTCAAGAACATGTATAGGCCCATGCCATGCCTAGCCATGCATGTTCAAGTTGCAGGGCTTGTAGCCTTTAATCTTCGGGTTCATATTCAGGTTCCATCCCTAGCCATCATACTCAGTTCCGGTTCATAGACGCTTCAAATCTCCGTTCCTGGACGGGTGCAACATCTCCAAGGAGCCGGAGAGAACTCTGCCAGTCCCACTTCATCCAGCAGGAGAACCACCTGCGGCGGCGGAGGGCGGGCAAACGCTGCCGTGGCAGGACGTACGCCATGGTGGGGACCCCGCCGTTCGGAGGAAGGAGAAAGCACGGATGGAGATGGGTCAACTCCCCTGGAACCCCACCGTATCATTGGTAGGTCAACCGTCATGTATCCCAAGGTCAAAACATGTCAAAACCCACCGCCAAATGAAGATCTTCCTGCTTGGATAGGACGAACAATTCCAAGAAACCCCAATGGCTGGAAATGATAAGATCTTGCTCTTGAAATCGGACAAACCGAGCTTTTCATTTAAACACCACAGTCCTTCTTGCATGAACAAACATGCCGACAGGCATTAGATGTGATGCACCACCAGTGGCCCAGCATAGAAACAAGAATGTGGCATGTCGATGAACGGTTTTGGGCTCCGCCAGCGAGCGACCGTGGCGTTCTTCCAGCGAAGCCGCCTGGGCATCCAGCGCATTGGATGCAAAGCGTCCAGCTGCATCAAACTGACGCCTGCAGATGGCGTCCAGATGAGGCGTCAGTTTCTCAACGGAACGAGACAAAAAAAGAACGGCTTGGCTTTACAACAGTCACACTAACAGTCACATATGCTCCCTAGATGGTCATTGTGGTCATTGTAGGTTTCCTAGCAGAGCCTGGTATGTGTCATTTTCACTTCACTTCACTGCCACTCTTTCAACTCCAGACCAACAGTCAGGGCACTGAATTCCATAGGCCGTGGACAGCGGCGAACACCTGAGCCGTGTTCGCGAAACTCAGTCGTTGCGAAGGTTGAAGCAAGGTCCTTGTTGCAGGCCAAAGCGCTGATACTGCATGATGCGTAGGGCAGGTAGCGATTGCAAGACCTCGCCAGGAAGAGAAGTTGATGTTTCTCTGGGACCGACATCAACCGTCAAGTGGCCTCTCAATGATCTTCCAGGAGTGGGATAAATGGGGATACCCTGCGTAGCCCAGTTATTCGGCATGTGTCATGACCGTATAGTACAAGGGCTGATTGAAGGAAACATGTTGGTTGTTGGGCATCGGGAAGTGTGACAAAATGATCGATGCAATATGATGCAATACTTGAAGCCAGGGGAGGAGGTCGAAAGCTAGCGGAATCTGGCGGTTTCTCTACCGCGCTGCAGTCGTTGAGGTCAAATCTCAATCTTTGCGTCCACTTATCATCGAGATTTCGATGAAGTGGGGTCAAGTGGGTGTAAACATACTTGTAGACAGATATTATTGAACGATATTGAAGGAACGTCCACTTTACATGTGGCGAAGGAAGTGGACGAAAGGTATAGAGCTTAGCATCAGCAGCCGCAGCAGCAGCAGCAGTGTGGTGCCCAGCAGCAGCAAAGCAGCAGCAGCCAGCACCAGCACCAGCAGCAGCAGCAGCAGCAGCAGCCGCAGCAGGCAGCAGCGACCAGCAACAGCAGCAGCAGCAACAGCAGCTTTAAAGACACAATTTCGGCAGCAGGGCTGACACTTAAGAGAAACAGCTGTCGTAGCGGGCAAAGTACACTGAAAGAAGAAGTGCAAAGTTCCCATTGGTGGCCGGTGCAGTGGAGCGTGGTCGGAATTTGGAAAACGATGTTTTCGTGGCGCTGGAGGAATTTTGGGGCCAGGGCGCGTGCTTGGATCGTTCTGTGTGCGGCTGCTTGCGTCATGGTTGTTTTTTTCTCTCAATTTTGGTGGTGTTCGTTGGGGTTAGCTCGCAACTTGTACTTGCACGCGCAAAATCACCTCACTTGCGCAAGCGATGTCGGTAGCGCACCCCCGCCTGCTTCAGGATGAAGAGGCCGTGTCCAAAACAACAGCTGCCCATGAAAAACTTAACTCACTTGCGCACACAGGCATGTCACCTTCAAATCACCCTCGGGTGGCTCACAAAGGGTCTGCTACCTTGGCATGGTACCTTCCCCTCCTCCTCCTCCCAATTCCTCCTCTAAATTTTACTGTTGGAATGGAAAACAGCAAAAGCAGAAAGGCAGCAAAAGCAGAAAAGAACAGACACTAATAACACATATCAATATCCCTCCCGTAAGAACACACACACATCATTGATGTTGCATTGCTATATATATTGCTATTTTATAATGGTGTTTTCTATAGGGACGTTTTTTTGCAAGGCACTTGGGTTTTCTTAGCAGATCAAATTCACATCAATAATTGGGCCAACAAGTCCAATTCCTGCTCCAGGGCCGACCTCAAAAAACTTCCGTATACCGCCGTCCCTTTTGACCGAAGTACTCGAGTTGCAATGGGACATGTGGAACTCCACAGCCCTTCCGAGTGACCATGTTGTCCCGTGGGACCGTGGGACTGGCTCCCTCGGAAGAGTGGAGGTCGGTCTGAGCAGTTCCACCCTTTGGACTCGCCGAGAACTAGAGATTCGTGCCTTGGACTTGGACTGCTTGCCCTGCAAATTGCTCAGCCTCGGAGTGAAAAACGCATGCGGAGGAGGTGAGGCCTCGTGAGAGCGGACGCGAGACGTCTTTTGAGACCCATGACGAACGAAGGTTCACTTCCAAAACCCTCCGAAGGTCGTTTTGACGAAGCTGGAACCTTGTTTTCTTTCGTTTGCGGTTGCTCTGGTGAAACACGTGGGAGATGAACGGAGAAGGACACCGGAGTGTTAGGTGATTTGCTGCTTCCAATCGGGGAGACCCTAGAATAAATAATTGACACACGACTGCCCAGCAAGCTTTGATAAGCATCCTTCCGTACTACCCTACATACGCTTGGTGCATGCCGTTGTCCAGTTGACTCTGCCCCTATGTGCCAAGCAGCAAGACCTGCATGCAAAGGGTCTTCGAGGTGCCTCAGAGTCGAAGGAAGGCCCCGCTGAAGGAGTCGTTGGACACACAGTCTTTAACAGTACGAAGATTTGGAACCCTAAATGTTCCGAAATGGAGAGTCGAAATGGGGGCTGAAAGACTTTGAATTGGTGGCCACGGTCAGAACCAGAACCCAGATTCTCCTGTTTGGGTGGGCCAGTGATCGAATCTCGGGTCATGCTGGCTCATCTCAAAGTAGCAATCTCCATTGCAGAGGCCGAGCCAAATCCTAATCACTTGCAAAAGATCTTGAGTGCTTTGGCGCCTGGCTTGCCAACGATGAAGAGAGGGATACGGTTCATGATGCACAAGAGCCCTTAGCCACGGCAGCCGCGCTACTCCAATGAAACTGTCTTCGGGAGATTTGGTCACCAACGCAAAACAAGCGTGACACGCGGCGTGACTGATCGTGACTGGTTGGTAGTTTAGTGGGAGTTACTCGTCCCAAGTGCAGGTTAAGAATATCTGAAACCACCACCCAGGTGATCATGCAGACATCCGCATTCGGGAGCTCCACCTCCGCCTGGTTCAGAGCGCATCCAATCTCTGAATGCCATCCCAGGATCCGACGAAGACATTCTCTGAGAGGGCCTCGTTCATCACCTGCCAGGCGCGGCGGCATCAGTGCCGTAGAGCTGTACCGAACAGGTAGTCCCTCTCGTTCTTCAACAGCAAAAACGATGGGCCGGTTGGAGTATATGCGACACTGGGGGAAAGCACTGCAGTGTGAAACCCACCACCAAGGGCGGAGGAGCTACTGCTGAGCTAGATACAGACCAACTTCCTCAACAACTCGTAGAGTCAGAGGTGGCAGCGAACAGGGTTTGCTTCCACTGGAATCACTAGAATCTTTTGGGGTCCTGCAAAACAAGCAGCTCTTGAACTTGAAAAGCATTTCTTCTTTGATTGTTTCCTCTGTCAAGTCTTGCGATCCAAGCCGCATCCAAAAAGAAACTAACATGCAACCAACTGTAACCACAAGATTTCGCCGGGTGACGACATCCTTCTCGACTTCAAACTCTTTGGCCACATTCGCTTGTACCCGCAGCAGCAGATTCTCCATCGACTGAGCAGCAGACTCTTGTGGCGTGGCGTGGCATGCGTTGTGGCATCGGGACGGTGTTGCACCCACAAATCTGCCGTCTGGGTCCCTCACCTGAATCACCTGAACCGTGTGGATGCCCTTATTTTTCGCCTCTGCTGTATCGTTCTGCTTTGACCGGCGTTCACGACGTTCCAGTTGAGGTTTCCCTGTTGTCTTCACTGGCCGAAGTCGTTGCCGCCACGTCACTGTGAGCCCGTTCTCCTGCCATGTCAAGCGAGTTGGAAACCAAAAGTGTCTTTTCCCTGCTCAGCTGGAATTAAGAACATGAAACAATTGCTATATAGCTTCCTTCTTCGAACCTTTTTATGACTCGGATGGAAAGAGCACCTCCACATCCCAGCTATACCATATTCCTTGGCTTGTCCGTACCAACACCTACGCCGACCGAACGGTGATCGATGCGACCGCAGGACCTCGCCTCTTTGGTCTTCTTCAGCGGCTCCCAGCCGCGGTTCTTCATGACGCCACTCTCCGGCGGCCACAAGCTCCGTCGCGTCAGATCCACCCAGAGCTGGTGTCGCCTGACCAGTGCGGTAGGTCGGCAGCAGTAGGTGGCGGAGAGGAACTGATGAGGACCGTAGGGAGGTAAGCATAGGTGAGCTGTTGTGTGGGGGAGGAACCACTGGAAGGCTTCAGGTCTTTCCTATTCTGTGGGTCTTGACTACATCAACTGGCTCTGAGGAAAGAAAAACATAGTTCCTAGTGTGCTGGGACCTCGCATTGATGAAACAAATCATGGTCATAGTGCTTGGGACACTCTCAGGCCACCTGCCGCGCGGTCAGGTGTGCCTCTCGCGGGTTGGAAGGCGATAGTGGTACACCAGGGCCACGGCTACTACCTCGGCGTGTTCAGTCTGCCTGTCCAGGGTGAGGAAGAATCCTGGACCGTCCAACAACAAAAAAATCTGGTCGTTTAGGTGTTATGGTCGTTTTTGTTGTTTTTGTCATGTTTTTGCGGAATTGTGTGGTCGTTTGCTGGCTTTTTGCGTGCGTTTTGCGCTCATTTGCGGTCGTTTTGACGTGTGTGCTGATTTGCGGCCGTTGGCGTGGAAAACCAGGTTAATAACCAAAACTACCAGAATGTGTTGATCGTTTGAAGATCCAGGATGACACAAGCACCCTTCATCAGGTCACCATCTGCCACTGTTCAGTCTCCAAAGGCTACCAAAGAAGACCTGTAGAGTCGGGTGGGTGCTGGTAGACATCTATATAACAAGATCAATATAGCTCAACTTGGAATCCTTACAAAATCTTCAAAACAACTGGTGCCCCGTATGACCGCCTGTCAGGTCTGTCGTTCGCTCTGATCGCTCCCTTAGTCCCCGGCCACTGAAGGCGCGTGGGGTGATCCGGTGGAGCTCTTCTTGGCAAAGCGCTCCTGGTGAGTGGAATGAAATGAGTGTATTGTCAACATATAGGGAGACCCTTGTGAAAACCCTCTGAAAGAGGAAACGTGGTGGAATTTGAGATAAACATGGCTATAGACAGACACATGGCGGGAAGGTCTCTCCATTCTAATAGAAACCTAAATGAAGCACCTAGACCCTCCTGAGAATTAACACGGTCCCCGAACAAGGTCCCTTTGAAGACCGCTTTTAATTACAAACCGAGTCAGTTTCAGCTTGTCCTACACTACTCACTACGGGTGTTTATTGCAGATTCCCAAAGTGTCTATGGTCACCAAAGTGGTTTGATGGAGACAAACGCCTCTCCTCAGAGTAAAGCACCAAACAAACTGCAAAATCACATGAATATGTTCAAACCAATGGCATCTGCAATTCTGCAGGCATGTTGCAACAAATCCTCTGCTCGTAAAACAGCTCAAATCAGTACATCTAAATCCTCTCAGCACCTCTCAACCTCCTCCATTAGATTCACACCGCCTCTTTAGCCCTAAGACAAGAAATACATCGATCTTCTCTATTCACCGGCGCTGATCTCCCGGTTACACGTTTGTTCCAACGCCGGCTTGACCTGCATCCACTTGGCCACGCGCAAGCACCGCTTCCTGGGAAGGGCCCCGAGGAAACCCGAAAACCCATCGCCACCTTTATCCGGCTTTTGATGACGCCCAGAAGTGTTGTAAAGATCTTCTGGGTGCGACGGATCTCCAAAAGAGAAAACACAGTTAGATTAAGTTGGTATAGGCTTCCAAGAATCCAAGACCATCTAAAGAAATGTTGACCTGATGGCAGTAGTGTAAAATCCTTCGTAAAGGCAGCCTTTTGAGATCATTTGAGTCAGCTTGGCTTGGCTTCAAAGCTTTAAAAAACTGAAGACCAGGGAAAGTAGTGGTCTTGGTCTTGTTGATTGCTAAGTCTTCGATCGATTGTTCGGTCTTGCAAATCAGGGAGTGCACTTTGAGTATCTTGCTTGTGGAGAAGGCAAGACTGCGTTGAGCCATCTCCGGACGTCTTCCGTTGCATTTTCCGCTTGGTGGGTCATTCGGCCTCCAAGCATTGGGCACAAAGCAAGTTAGCTTCGCATAGAAAAAATCAAACTCAGATCCAAAAAGATCCTTCATATTCTAAAATATCTTCAGTAAAGCTCCATAAAACTCCGCCCAACATCACTTATTTTAAACAGAAAAGGGATCGACCCCAGCTTAAGATATGTCACCCCGCTCCTTCCTGGAAGGTCTACCGGTCTTCCCCACCGACCCTTCTTCATCGCTCCGGGCGGCACATCGCGCAAGGAGACCGCCGACGGGTCGCCCTCGTGGAACCGGATGAAGTCCTGGACCGGACCGCGCTCGGCGAGGCACCGCGCCGGCTCCGTTGCGTGAGCGGTTTTTTGGGATCGTTTTGGGCGGATGGCGGATGAGAGCCTCTGGATGTGTTCTCACGGTGAGCGCGTAAAGAGGATTTTGGGGCTGGTGTCCATTGGTCGTACGGTCTCGTGAACCAAAATCCCATCGACTCGTGAATCGGCGATCCAGGTCTTGGTCTCTACCCAAGTTCCTATAGTTACAATTAAGACTAGGGATCTTAACTTAATGCTTTAGATCTTCCAACTGTGTAACATGTCTGCCTGTTAATCCAGTTTTGCCGGCCAAGTTTGGCAGAAATTGCACATAGTTGGAAGATCTAGGTGGTGTTCGGTTCACGTTCAGTTGATTGGCTCGCCTGGCCCAGTTCCAGAGCTCCCCAAGATCTTGAGATCAAGAGTTGGAGAATGCTGATCCGTTTCCAGGAAAGGCTCTGATCACATCTGATCACAGGTTCTAGAACATTCTAGTCCAAAGATATAACTAGCAAAACTCTGTGAGGCCTCAGAAATCCACTACAATACCGGCAGCATGGCCCTATTGCTTCGTTCGCAACATCCCTGTTCTTTTGACAGCATCCCTCTTCTCTGCCTGAGCCAGGCCCAGAAGGCTGGTGACCAAGACCTGCTCTCGGTCTGGGCTTTCAGGCCAGCAATTTTGCACCTGAGCACGGAGGCGGGTGATGCGCTGGCTCCCTTGGGGTCCAAGCTGCGCATGGACCCTTTGAGGCAACCAGATGCACCCGCCTGTACATTTAGCGTCGCTAGGTGCGATGTGGGTTTTGAAACTGGACCATCTGGAGGTTTAAGTAAATCATAATAGCCAAATCTTTCTGGGGGGTACACACCTCCATGTTGACCTGGAGGGGTATCAAGCAGATTCAGTACTGCAGAAACAAGCCAAGGTTGGGGACATTCTCGGGACATTCTGGGTTCCTCAAGTATCCTCTGCTTATCTGTTGGCTAAAGCAGATTTCTGCTTGCTACCCGTCTTGGACTATACTAAGGAATCTACAGTAAGGCTTTCCTTCTCAGACACCTTCCATGAAGCTTGAGATATCCTTATATAATATATATATATATATATATATATCCTAACTGAATCCTGTACCCTAATATCCTAATAAACAAATCGTTTTGTCCTTTGCCTGCACTTGGTCCATCTTCGTTCGCTCCCTTTCACCAGCCGCAGCACAAACAGTCTGAACAAGTTCGACCAAAGATCGGGCAAAACCGAAACAGATTCAGGACCCACATCGCAAAAAGCAATGGGAATGATGTTCCACCTGGCAAAACCGTAGTTCCACATAGTTCCACTACCAGTACAAACCATCCTCCTGGAAATGGTGTTCTTTCACCCTCCTTCCCGAGATCTAGGTCTCTTTTTCTGTGATGGAAGCGACCCACTTGGACCTTCAGACCGGATCAAAGCTCTTCCTGGATTCCCCCCTGACCCTGGCGGAACACGCTTCGTTCCTCCAACGGCCAGTCACTGTGGGTGACCCAGGCGTGTTCAGACTCCAAGAGCTACCAAGGTGCCATGGAACGGATATACATCTCCTCCGCCCGCTTGGTCAGCGCCTCGGTGTCACTGGGGGGGGGGTGCGTCAGAAAGCAAGACTGTTCACCTTCCACCCCTTCAAACATCGAGAAACGAAACACAAAGCCAAAGACCTTCTTCCGGCTTCGGCTTTTGTGAGATCAAATGAGATCAAATTCTGTTCTACGCTGAGATCCATGGGCCCCCTCCAAACAAGAAAACACAAAAAATCACCGAACTTTGGCTACCAGAGATCTGATGTCTTGAACCGTCACTCGCCTGGCCGCGCCCCTTTTGCTCCGCAACGCCACGGGACCGACGGCCACCGGCGCTGGTGGCCGAAGGGCCGAGCTGGGGTTGGGGGGACCGGTTGAGCTGGGCCGAGCAAGTCTTGTGGGCACAAGCGTGTTTGGCCAAGAATCAAAGTGACACGTTGTGAGTTGAGAGAGGTTCCTTTGTTGGCACAGAATGGTGCCCACAGGCTACAGTAGCAAGCAGTCTGCCAGGTAGTTGGCCCACCGCTGGCAACTGGCATCTGGGTGGAAATCATATTCAGTTTCACGACATGGTCATCGATGTAATGATGTTGTCATCGATTCGTCGTGGTTTTGAAATGGGTCGTCGGGTTGGGTCGTCGATGTCCAAAGTTCATTGTTGGCTTCACAATATATAGATTTCACAACATTGATGTGACTGTGGCACCTACGACCCTAAAAGAGTTCTACGCAGCTTTGAAAACAGTGCTGAAAGCACGGGGCCTGAAAGAAGAGGAGCAGCTTTGGCAACTCTGCTTGTCTCCCAAGCACCTGAGGAAAGCCTACAACTCTGAAAGGTTCAAAAGCATTGATCGTTGCCCGCAACTTTTCTTGACTTTTGAAGTGTCAATTCTACTGGGAGGTGCAATTCTATGACGCTGTTCAACGCTAGCAAAAATTGAGAGAATCTTCCTCAATGTAATTCCGTAGGCACAGGCAACTTTGCAAATGAGAAATAGCATTTCGATGCATTTCGTATCACGGCCGGTAGGTTGGGCGGTGGACATAGGTAGTTTCCAGCTACCGGGCCTACCAAGCACTGTTGCAAGGGCTGTTGGACATTCTCTGCCACTGCTCTGTTATTGGTTTGGATCTCTGATGGGTCGCTGCGTTCGCTGCTTCTCACTGCACCTTCATCCACCTCCGAGCGTGAACCGTGTCACGCGCGGCGAACCGTGTCACGCGAACCGAACGACACCTACCGTGGGTTGACGGTGTCGGAAATGACACGTCGAACGCCCCGATGAAGTTGAAGCAGGTGTCGCGGTACCGTGGAACCTCTGGGGGTGGATCCACTTGAAACCATCTTGTTTCAAGGCCACATGGATCATTGATCTGTGCGTCAAAAATGGATGAATCCGTCAAACCCACCAGAAAATAGAAAGAACAAAGCTGCAGAAAGGGATGGTCGTCACTTTGCTGCTCTGCAAAAACCTCGTCAACCGAATCGACAGCCTCCAAAAAGACCACAGAGCCCGCAAATCCTATGTTTGCGTGCAGGAACATGCAGGAACAGCATGTCCAATCGACAAAACGATTGCTTCCAAAAGCAAACCACTTCTATATTCTCTAGCTCCTCACCAGAGCGGTGGGTACTTACCCAACCAGCCGCACTGCATGCGGGACCGCACTCCAGTGCATCTTCGTCGCCCCCCCCCCGACGTGGCGACGCAAGGCGCTGCTGTTTTCGCAAACTGCTTGGCTCCTCTCAGCCGCACTTCGGCCAAGTGGGAAGTCTAACGGTTAAACGTCGTCTAATATGACCCAGCCACAGAAAGTGAATCGCGCAGCGCCAGGCAGAACCCATGACTCCAAGGCAATACATGTGTTCAAGACTCGGAAATGAATTCTATACCACCTTTTGATGCAAAGCTATGCCATGACTATAATGACTTACTATCGAAACAAGACTTTTCGTGGTAAAGGCCACACATATTTGTTTTCCAAAAGAGACCATGACCACAAGTTCTACTTCCCATATCATGTGGTTCTGATCGCAGGCGAGCAGAGACCAACGCCAAAAATATCTCTTCGAGATATTCTTGTCATTTCACTCACCTCGACTTCGCCGAGGTGTGGCCGGCCCCCTCGTCGACGTCGTCGTCGTAGCGATTGGGCCAGCAGCGCCAGGCAACGACCACGGCGAAGATCATGACCAGGGCCCAAGCGGAAATGCCCAACAAATCATCGTCAAGCCAGGTCACCTGTGCGACCGGTCGATCGGTCCGGCCAAGCGTATAGCTGTCAGACCTTGTTTCTTGGTGACATGTTGTGACACTCTTTTCGAGTCTGGAGGGTTGGTTTGTGGAACAACAGAATGGTTCTGAAGAAGTTTGTAGTTTTCCACGTTCCATCCTCAAAGAATTGTTTCACTAGTTTACGTTTCAGATGCAATGAGCAAGCGAAAAGAACAACGACTTTTGGTGAACCATGGCCATTGGACTGGCCATTGGTGAATGTATGATGTACATGTGCGCTCGAGATCGCTGGAGTGTTGGGGAATGTATTCACAGTCAGTACATCCGATCATAGACGAGGCACCAAGAGGTTGCGGAAGATCTGGATTCCAACGCCTCATTTGCCGCGTCTCGCGCCGTCTTGCGGAGATGAAGCATGACAAAGCGAAGCCTTCGTTTCACGGGTCCAGGGCTTCGTCGTGAGTTGACCATGATACTCTCAAGATCCGATAGGGGCCCAGGGGGAAGAAGACCAGCAAAAGGCCTTCTCTGCACCAAAGCCAGTCCTCCATTCGCCCTCGAACCGTTGGACCTCCGTTCGACCTCTCTCTTCCAAGTGGCCCATGGCACCAATGAGGACCACTCCAAGCAGGGTCACCGTGTAGTCCAAGAATCGATTTCCTCATTTAGACGACAGAGCTCATTTCACTGAAACCGTGGAAAAAATGCAACAACTGGACTTCACATACAAGAGGAGTAGACCAATATGGTTTGTCATGGATCTCCTCATTTGTCTTCCGACGCAAAATGATCTTAAGATATACTTCACATACAAAGGGAGTAGATGTCTTCGTTTTAGTCTCTGACTTTCGGAGTGCGGACCGGTCAGTTCTGTGCACCGATCTGTTCACTCAGACGATTTAGCTGCACATCTGGCATATAGCAGTCTGAACTTAACAAGAACAGAGGTGAAAGTGGAAGAAGTATAAAGAAGTAGCATTGGTGCCAACCAGCGGACCCAAAGGAAGGGCTTTGGTCCCGTGGGTCAAACATCACTGGCTTCTGCAACGCATCGGGGTTGGACAGGATTTGCTCAAGGGTTCTTGAGAAAACCATATGAGACTTTAACAGTGCTTGTCAAGTAATGTTTTGTGTCAGTGTGTGTGTGTGTGCTACTTCAACAAACAAATGTGAAGTCATTATGCCGCTCATGTGTTCTTTATAGCCGGCGCTGCCAAAACGGAAAAACGCGGCTTTGCGCCGCCTTCCTTTCGTCCCCACATGGCGCGGCCACCGATCGCTCGTGGGTCCCGGCTTGATGGTTGAGGTGTTGGGTATTGACTATCGCAGTACAGCAGGAACCAAGTGGTTCTCATTGCTTGCAGCGTAGATCCACGGATCGAATTCACACGGATCGGTCCATGTCAGGTGTAAAACAGTCACTGATCACCTGCTTCTGAGTGTGTAAATAGCTCCGGAAGTGGGAAAGGAAAGGCCACACACTCACCCGTCCCAAAGACAGCAAAGGAAAACACATCACAAGATCTAGTGAATCTAGTCGTCCCCCAAATGACTCCTCCTTACTGCAAGTGACTTGCTGTGATGCCTCTCACCAAGTTCTTCATCCAGGCATCAACGCGCCAACCACGCCAACCACGCCAACCGTGGAGCCGACACGGCTCCTCGTTGCAGACCGAGCTTCGACGCCTCTGTCGCAGCTTGTAGGCGAGCATCTGAGAGAGCACGAAGCCTGGCAACGGCAAACGTGAGAGAAGTGGTGGCTCGTGGCTCATGGTGGACATCAATATCTGAAAAAACATGAACGGGATCTTCGTTTGTGGTGACAACTAGTCTCAGTTGGACTCATGGAGCAATGGCATTGCTATGGTGAACAGCCATGGTGTTATACACGTCACAAACAGCATATTCTGCATGGGCGAAGCAGTGCTTTAGCGCACTTGGAGCTGATTTGGTGTCCAGGTCATCCCTTCGGTGCGACACTGAGATCGACAATGCCAAACACCCCATGTATGGGATGCGTTGGCACAGTTCAGGGGTCAATGTAGGTAAATATACCATACTCGGAGTGTGCATCTGGGAGACACCCAGGCAATGGATGTTGGTCTATTTTTCCTTCCTCCAGGAAGTTGTTCAGTGTGCTGCGATATACTCCCACAGGTGGCTTTTGAAATATCGCAGCACATTGGTGTATGAGAAGTGTTGAAATCACCACAGGCGGCTTCTCATCTACCTCACGAGATCTAAGAACGGGGTGTGCCAACACGAACTCTAGCCCTCACAAAGGATTTGTCCTGTCTCCATCCCCCGAGGAAAAGCCGGCATGAAAACCTCCGCAAACTGCCAGTGTCCCCTGAAAGCAGTGGATATGCATGACTGTCTATACTCGCTCCTGCTTAGAAGTATGAGGAAATTGAAGTCGGCCAGGCATTGTTCTCTCCCTGGGCCCCTCACCAGAGCGGTTTCCGGTGGGTTCCACAAGGTGTGTGGGTGCCCTGCAAAACCGACCCATCCCGGACGGTTCCTCCCCCCAAAAGGGGCGACTCACCCCACTTTCGCACCACGACTGCTGAAAGCCCAGGGCGTGCTTGATTCCAAGGTACAGAAGGGCGTGGCCACTCCCCAGGTCGTCAGCAGATTCACGAGTCCCACAAGGCCATAGTAGAGCTCGTTGGCCCGCAGGCGCGCGACCATCAAGTCTCCATAGGCCCAAACGGTGGGGACCGTGAGGCCCAAGAACCAGCTGAAGGGAAAGGCGTAATGCCCTAAACCTCAAGAGTTTGCTGCAACACCATGGAATACCATCCAGCC